TGTTCATCGTTTGGTTTCCCAGAGGTTTTGTTTTCTTCTTTTGACTAAACTCTGGTTTCTTTTCCCATTGTTGAACATGTCTAGCAGTTGATTTTCAAATGCATCAGCTCTAATTGGTGCAAGCTTTGGATGGCATCTTAGTTAACTGTGTTTATCCCTACCCCAAATCCTGTGGCTCCTGCAGACCTTTCACTCCCTGTGCTGTTGTTTTCATAAAATAGTGTGCTTCTAATAGGAAATAGTGCTTTATTTTTCCTCTTACATCACTAGAAAAGGGCTCAGGACTTCTGTAGGGCAACTGATAGTAGCAAAAGCCAAACTGGAGGGGGGGAAGCTGCTGTCAAAGCCCTTGATGACACGGCTGCATAAAAGAAGCAAGAAAATATCATGCAAAAATAATCCTTCCCAAAACAGATAGGATTTTTTTTTTTTTCAAGGAAAGCAGCCTAAGACTTATTATTAAATGTGTCTATCAAATGGAACGGGCTTTGTTTGAACTGGGTAAGAAAATAAGCCTAAAAAGTCTAAATATCTCCATAAAAGCTACCCTGCTGTGCCAGTGGGGCTGTTGACAAGCAGAATAAGCAGTTGCAAAGTATGAGGAAGAGTCTGGAGCAGGTTAGAGGCAGTTGCTATCTTCCACCCCTAAATTAACGCTGTAGCTCCTGATTGCCAAGTGCAATTAACCGTTCTGTTCTGCAGAGTCCCTTTCTCCTTCCAGTGGAAGCAGTCAGCCAGCCAGGGCTGGGTCCTTTCACACACCTTTATTTTATTTTTTTTTTTTTTTTTCCCCTGGTGAGAACATAGCTTCTACGATTATGTTTGGAGAGAGAATTTTTTGTGGCATGTGAAAATGAGCATTCCCTTATGCGTAATGTGCTCTGACTCAGTACTATTGCACAGCCTCTTATTTTCATTCAAGAACTTTCCCTTGGAGGCTTTTTTTTTTTCCCTCTAAAATCTGTTGACTTTTTTTAGAAAAAAAAAAAAAAGCCAAGTCAAAAAGCCTGCGGGTTCAAGCACTTCTTAAAAAAACTGAGAGTTGCAGAGAAGAGGAGGTAGCTCAGGATGGGAACCACTGATGCCACCCATGCCTGTGAACTGGGGTCCATGGGACCAGGAGAGATGCCTGCAGGTAGGAAAACCTTCTTGGGTCGAGAGGGGTTTTGCAGGAGCAGGCTGCCTGATGTCACTACCAGGCTTCGAGAAGTGCTTAAACTCAGTGGGGTTTTTTTGCCTGCATTTAATATTTTTCATCTGTTTGTTCCACTGCAGTGGATAATTACAATAGCAGGGTCTTAAATAATTTCAGGTGGGGAGGGAGGGAAAATTGAAGTGGTCTGAAAGGAGGAAAATAGTTATAAAATGTCTTGCCAACTGGCAGAGACAAAGCTTTTAGGAAGGGCCAGGCAAACTTGATCAGTGCTGGCAGAGCTCTGTTTCGATTGCCCTTCTAGCGTTTCTGTACGTGTTATTTTAAGCAGCTGTGATTCCTCCTTGGTAGGCTAATTTCTGAGCGCTGTAAAACATTTCTGCTGCTGGAATAGAAAAGCACTACTCCGGGACTAGGAGGGCTGGAGGGTGCAAAATACTATATGATGCTTCAGGGGGCTCGTGTTGGCCTTTGCAGCAATCGATCCAAGCAGAAGAGGGCTCCTGGATCTGTCCTGGCGGGTTAATTGAATTCCATGTACTACTGGATGAGACATGACTGCTTAAATACCTTCACTGCGGCTTTTTGAGTGCTAGGAGATTAATTTTAACCTGTGTACAAACTGAAGCCCAGCTTGGTGCAAGCAGAGAGCACCTGAAGAGCCAGGATGAGTAAGAAAGCACCTACTGCATCCCCCCGAAATGCAAACGGGACAGAAACACCCAGTCCTGCTCTTTGAGTAACTAGTAAAAACACTGGCTTGGGATTTTCTCCTGTGGATCTGATGAATAATTGGTAATAGGAGCTGGCTGGGATGCTGTAGCTCTCTCTTACCAACTGCCTGGGTTTCTTTTTCCTTTTTCGAGCTTGGAGCAGGGTTATAGGATAGGGCTTGTGCTGCTTTCCAATCTTGGGGGGGGGGGGGGAGAGGGTTATTCCCAGCCTGCTGTTCCTGTGCCGTAAGAGCAAAATCTGCATCTGTGGCAGGTCAAGCTTGAAGGGTTATTTTGACGGCAACTTGCCTTTTGGGAGTTGAGTTTATTGCCAGTCCTGTTTTCTTTAAGAAAAATAACACAGCGTGGGTGTGAAAACTCGGAGGATGGTTATTTCTTATGTTCAGATGTTTAGAAAACAAGGATCTGGCAAAGTAGATGAATTTGAGTATTTAGAATATTATCAAATGGCCTGGTAAGACCAGACAAAACTCAGTGCAACTTCTCCATCCCCAGGTGTGCACAAGCATGTGCTGTTCAAGGCATCGAGGGGTTTCCCTACCCCTCCTGCCTTTTTAAAATTGGCCTTAGAGATGCTTTTCTAACCCCCCAAGCTGGCTTGTGCCTGTGATTAACTTGCTGCGTTGTGATGTTCCCAAGCCTGCTCCAGAAGATCGACATTGGGATTTAATAATTGGGGGGGAAAAAAAAAAAAAAAACAAACTTGCTAGCCGGGTGTTTGTTCCTGCGCTTCTCGTCTGACTTCCTCCAGCAGGTTTTGGACATTATTTAAAGGATAAATAAAAGCTGTTGGGAAACACACATAATCTTTGCTTCTAAACCTTAATAACACCACAGATGTCTTGTGTGAACCTGTCAAGCGGAGGCTTATGTTCGGTGTTGTCACCTGCAGGTGTCCCATTGTACCTGCTCTGGATGCAAATGCACTTCTGTTACGTTGGGGTGTGAAACGCCTTCTGCTCCGCCTGGGTAGATGTGCTGCTCTGTGTTCTCCCAAGCTGTGAGACAGGGACTGACCCTCTTTCCTCCAACCTCCCCAGCTTGAGCAAAACCGCATCCCGAGGTTGGAGTACCGGCAGCCTTTGGCTTCCTGCCAGACCCTGTCAAGATGGAAATCGGCACATGCGCTTCACAATGAGAAATGCTTTTGCTTGGAAAAGACCCAACCCTCTCTTTTTTAATTAATTTTTTTAGCGCAGCTCCACTTTATCTTTTTTTTTTTTTTCTTTCAGCTTTCCATTTCTTAATCTTTGAGAATTTGTATATTATCTGCTGTGTAATGCAGTTTGCTGGCAGCCGCAGTGCTTGTGTCAAAGCGTTTGGGTTTCTGCCTTTCTCTGTCATAACATTGACTCTCAGAAGGATTTCTGACATGGGAAAACGTGCCGAGCATCTGTTAGGATGATAACTCTTAAGTTCAATTTTGACGTGGTTTCTACCGAAGATTGACAGCCCCGTGGATTTTTCTGAAGCTGCTTCATCAGGGAACCTGACGGAAGTGGAGAGTAATGCTGCCAAATGTAATTTTTCTGAGCATGACTTAGTTGTCATGGCAAGTTTTTCTGCTCTGCATCTCTGCCGTCTGCTATTCCCATGGCTCTTTGGCTCAGTGTATGCCGGCATGGGAAAACCCTGGGTTTAGCTGGGGAAGACGGTAGAGTTGGCATCACTGGAAGCTTGTGACAGCAGCTTAGTTTATTCCCAATAACTAGGTAACTTTAATTCCTTGCAGCAATATTTTCTGCGATATTAAGAGCTTAGTAAAAATAAGATACTATGTATTTGCATATAAGTATGTTAGGCAAGAAGCCGTGTCTCATCTTCCCTTTTGTGGAGCAGGTTTGCTTCCTGGGCTTGCTGCAGGTGGGATTTGTCCCATGGGCTGTGGTGATCTGTATCCCATCACCCCAGTTGATCTGGGACGTGGACGTGGGGATGGCTGGGCAGCCTCTGCCTCCTGGAGCCAGGAGAAACTCAAGTTGAGAGACGTAAGAGCCGAGAGCTTGCCCTGTTTTGGGTCCTTCGTTACCACCTGCTGTGCTAGGAAAGGATAAAAAGGGAATTCATGATTGCAGTTTTTGGAAAAGAAAGTCCATGTGTCATCCTCATGAGTTGTATTGGTTTGAGCTATCAGTGCAGGTGTAATCAGGGAGCAGGTGCATCCCTTGGTCTTCGCTCGGTGACGTTGGAAGGGAAAACTATCACCACTCTGCCCAAAACAGGCGGGCTGCTTCCTAGGAAATAGGGTCCAGGGATTTGTTTTGCAGCAACGGGCAGGGGTTTAACTGCACACCATGCCAACTGGCAATCATACACAGATGCTCGTTAAGATGGATTTATTTCATGATGCATTTCTGTCATTGGTACATTGCCTTATGCTTAAGATGTTCTGAATATCTGGAGATACAATATTCCAGCCTTTCATCGTCAGTAAATCCTGTGGGGTGTTTTTTCTTTCCTCACCTACTGCCAGTAAGAACTGTGTGCAAATATTTAATAAAAAAAAAGGGGGGGGGGAGTGTGCATGTTAAGGGAGAATGCACAGGTATTTCTTTCCCCCCCCCACCCCCTTGCTGCTGAGAAGTTTCTTGGAGTAAAGCAGGCAAAACTGGTTTTGCAGGGGAGGAGGGGCTACAAAGCTGTCGCATCCATCCTGTCTCACCTTGGGTTGCTCCGTTTGGAGGGGATCCCTTTCCCCCTCACTCCCTGGCCCCACGGTGCAAACCCAACTGGGGCCACCAGCGCATCAGCATGGTGCCTTCTCGTGCCCAGCGAGGGAGCTGGGGTTTGAGAGGCTGCAATTCCTCCAGCCATTTGTTGGGTTTTTTTCTCTCTGGTACCGTCTGTAAGCGACAGTGGGGCTGAGAGCAGTGAGAGCTGCAGTGGCCTGGGAAAATGCTGGGCTGATGGAGAATGACTTGTTCATAAGCCACGTTCAACCTGCTTCAAAGCTTTGCAAAAACCACATCCTCAACTTGGAGATTACTGGAGTAGAGCTTGACATAGACCTCTGGTGTAACATACACAGCTTGCAGATGCCTTTCTGATGCTATTAATTTTCTATGTGACATAACTGTTGTCTCTTTTTTTTCTGTTTTGTTTTCCCCTTGAAGCTTTGAAGTGGAATGCCATGGCCAGTTCCTCGGACAGTGAAGATGATGGTTTCATGGCCGTGGATCCAGAAGACGCTGTGGTCGAAGGGACAATGGAGCAAGACGATGAGCCACATGCTGAGCTGGAGGTCGAGGAGACCAGGCATAACAGATCAATGTTAGAGCTCCCAGAAGAGGTTTTGGAATATATCCTCTCCTTCCTTTCACCCTACCAGGAGCACAAAACTGCTGCCCTTGTCTGCAAACAGTGGTATCGACTAATCAAAGGTACAAATAGCTGTGATAAGAGTGCATTTTTTTTAGCTGTGGGAGTTGTATCCCAGCTGCTTTTTGTTTTGTTTTAGACTCGCCTGTTGTTTCCCTTTCAAACTCAGAAATGTGACTTCTGCAAAATGCCAGAAAAATAGCTACGGCCATCAGGTCTCTTGCTTTGCTCAAGGCATTGCTAGTAATGGTGCAGAATGGAGCCCCTCGGCCTCTTTTGTGGTTTAACAGAATGAAACCCCAGAACCCCCACAACAGAGCAGCTCGCTTGCGTTGCTTTTGAATGCTCCCCGTGCACTGCTGGTGTGCAGCACTACTGACCTTGCATTCAGGCTTCCTCTCCACCACACAGCAGCCCCTGTTGCCGGCGTCCCATGTCTAATGTGGCTGTAATTGTGCTTTGTTTGCATCTTGCTCAGTAATTAACGTTCCCAGAGCTTATGCTTTTGGCTGGAAACAAAACCGTGTCTGGTTCTTACAACTCTGCTGAAGATAAGTGGTATATAAAATCTACATTAATGTAGATCTACATATTCAGACTTCCTGAAAGAGTAGCCCTGAGATACAGATACTTCACTTTGCCTCTGTGCAGCTTTAATTCTGAAGCCTTATGGGGATATTTTAATGTTAGATAGATATGATACAACAAATAGGTAGGTAAAGATTGGACAAGGATACAAGCAAAGCTATCTGCTTTGGTATTTTTTTTAATATATTGGATGATTTCTCTTATGTTTCCATTGGGGACACGTGTTTTGATTGCAAGCTTCATTAAAAAACAAGCAGTTTAAGAGACCACAGTTAAATCAGTAGGAAATGAGGCACGCTGCTGCATGAAGGTAACTTGTTTCTTCTGGAAAACACAGAGCGGGTGTCAGGTGAGAAGTGCCTTTGGCAGGCGTGTGGGGTGATGTCTAATTTGTGGACTTCTCTGCACATGTGGAAGCATTGCTCAGATTCCAGGCATTTTCTGCCTTGCCCAGAGTTTCACAGGCAGGAGGTTAAAAAAAACACAGCTACTTCAGAAGCAAGCATTGCACAAAATTACTCTTTTTGCATAATTTTGGGTCAGCAGCAGCCCATACCCTTTTGAAAGGTTTTTTCAGGTGTCCGCAGCCCTTGAGTTGTTGCTTGGGCACACTTTCTCACGCGTGCTTGTTCCTGGAGCGGCCTTAAGAGATGCAAAGGATGCAGCTGGAATGAACAAGCACCTGGTGATTCACCCCAAAAGAGGCTGTGGGAAACATCCTTAGAGTGGAGGGGAGGGATGAGCAGCCCGAGGCGCAGCGTGGCATGGGAGTGAGTTGTCCGAGTCTCAGATCTCAGGGGATGAGTGGTGCTGGGCAGCCATGGCAATTATAGCAAAAAAAAAAAAAAAAAAAGGAGTGTAATTGCTAACTGGCACACTGTGAAGCAGAGGGGTCACTCGAGGTAAACGCTTGGTTTGTTTTCTTCTGTTTAATTTTTCCTGTTTGTCAGGATACATCTGCTATGAAATCCTATAGTTCAGATTACATTTCCCATGTGACTCTCAGGGACCAGCTGCTTGAGGACCCCGGGCTTCTTTTTTTTTTAAAAAAAAAAAAAAAAACAAAAACCAAAGACCTTTCTGCTTTATATCCCAGGGTGTGAGTTCTTGCTGGGGGTGTTCCTGGCACAGGGCTTTCAGTAAGCAAATCCTTGGGGGAAAAAAATCTTGGCAGGTTGTGGCATCCTTAGTGTGAGAGCTGCCATAGCATAGCGGATGTCACCAAGCATCTGCTGAGCTGCTGCAGTCATAAATCTTTGCCAGAGCCTTTTCTTTCCGTGGGAGCAGTCTCTGCCCCCCTCTCAGCACACACACAGACACATCTACTCCATACACAGAATTAATTGCAGGCTGAGGCTGGCCAGCTCTGCAGAAGAGCTGTTGTTGGCCAGATCTGCTTCCTCCCACAGCTAAGGAGAGATACTTTCACTTAAGAGATACTGGCTTTTATCACTGATGCCTCCTCTCATATTCGAGATTCCTGTGCAGTAGCTGCATGTACGCTCTTCCAAATTCATTATTACATGTTATTTGTCCTCAAAGGTCCATTAAGGGAAGGGCAGCTGCTCCTCTGGAGGTGTGATTAAGCGACAACAGCCTTGCGTTGCAGCAGAGAAGGCTGAAAACCAGCTCTGCAAAGGCACCACACGTGCTTACCTTTCACAAAGGCTTTGCTTTACCAAGCTAGAGCTGACAGATATCAGAAACGTAGCAAATCAGTTCAGTGAATGCTGCTGATTTCCCACATTTGCGGAGTCCCTATTCTTTATTCCCTTTAATCCTCCGAATTTCCACCAGCGTATTTATAATCTCAATACAGGGGTTCTTTATAATTGCTGTCACGCTGCTTGTGCAACTGTGCAGGCACAGTTTGTTCCTAACATGCCCCAAATTTTGCTGACATCTTGTTTTTCCCTAGGTGTGGCCCATCAGTGTTATCACGGCTTTATCAAAGCAGTGCAAGAAGGAAATATTCAGTGGGAGAGTCGCACTTACCCCTACCCTGGCACCCCCATCACGCAACGCTTCTCACACAGTAAGTAGCTGCTGGGAAAAGCTCTGCTCACCCCAATTTGCAATGGGAAGCTGCAGCTGAGGGGTTTGCACTGCATGGCCCGGGATCGAGCAGTGCCGCAAGTGCCTGTCGCTGCAGCAGAGTTTCCGCCGGTCGGTGTGACACGCGGCTCTGCCAACACAAACACTTTGCCCAAGCCTGGGGGATTCAGTAGCTGCTCGTTGTGGTTGTTGGCTCCTTGCTCCTAGGAAATGTTAATGGAGCTAGGGTGGGATTTCTACTTTCCGATTTCGCAAATTTTATGCGCAGGCTTCTTTTTGCAGCTCCCCTTCGAGTCTGAGCTGTGTGTCCTCTTCAGTAGAAACCTCACTTAGCCACTACACTTAAATCATTACCATCAAAGCCAATGAGTTTGCATACCCGCAGCACTCAGGGATGTACACTGGCTGCTTTTACAGCAGATCATCTTCTACATCTGTGAGTAATATAATTTGGAGGAGGCTGAGTGCAGCTTGCTTCAAAATAAAACAGCTGCATGTGAGAAGCAAGCGTGTTTGCTGATAGAAGTGATTCAGTTGACATCACCACTTAACGCAGGGGTGAATTTCTGCCCTACTTCCAAGTTTCTGGAGGAGAACAGGAAAAAGCATTCCCGTTGAGGAAAAGATTCTTAAATAAAACTTGTTATTTGTACTGCAGTAGCATCGAGCTGCCTCAGCCTGCTCTGCCAGGCGACATAGTCAAATATGACAAAAATTCAGTCCTTGTGGCTTCGTCGCTGGGCCTGAGCCCTCTGGGAGGCGGCTCTTCTGGGGAGCAAATCTCAGTTTACTGAGGGTAAATAAACATGGTGTAAGCAGTGCGATTCCAACAGCAAGTAGGCATAACATTTTCCTATTCCCAAGTAATAATTTATGAAGCAGCCTCCTGCCAAGACAAGTCCAGGAGACACAGCGGGAAGCTCTGGTGAAGTCATTGGACTCTTCAAAGATTCCCTTGTCCTCCTAAGGAGTGAAAAAGGCACCACTGTTCATAACTCATTTTTCAGCAGCTGTGTTAGTAAAGTGCTTATCAATGACTTGCAGATTTGCATGTATTTTCCCCTTAATTTTTGAAGCCTTTTTGCAACTGGTGATCTTTAAGGCTAGCTAGAAATTACCTGAAAAAGGCCCAAATACTGCACCCATGGACTCACTGTGTGCTCTTTAATTTATTCTGCTGCTCGCCGGGGACTTCCTCTGAGCATGCCGCTGTTACACTTGATCCAAAATGAGTTGTCTTATTAAAGACAGTGCCCTCGGAGCATGTAATCTGTATTAGCCTCGCTGTTGGACAGTGTACTGGCTCGGGTCAGCCCTCGGTTGCTACAGAAGCATTATTAATGCACTTTATGCACAGAAAGCTAATCCGGATTAACTTGTTTGCTGATTTAAACTGATTTTTTTTTTTTTTTTTTTTAAGCAGTTCTCCAGATCTGTGGTATCTGCTTTCCCTACAACAAAGTGTTGCATGTTTGTGGGTGGATTCAATATTAAACTGAAGCTACAAATGATTAATTGCAGAAATTCACACTGAATCTGTAAACCCATAACCTACAATACTGGGATGCGGTGAGCTGAGGTGAAGTAAGAACAGGAGGTTTGGGGAGAGGGGAGTGAGAGAAGACTCACAAACACCTTTTTTTAGGGGCGAGTGATTTGCCAGGTTTTGTGGGAAGACGTCATCTACCAGGCACGAGTCGTTTGAAGTCGATGGTAGCTGGCATCAAAGAAGAGTCTAGGGCTATCTCTCTTCCAAGATTTATTAGGAATATCCCAGAAGTGCTCATATGGAGCATAAAAGGACAAGCAAAAGAATTTTAAATAGTTAGAGGTCACTATGTCTTCTATCAGTTCTGAAGGGAGTAATAGAAAAAGTGTTTGATAAGGAGTAATTAATGGAAGCTACTGTCATCCTGTGGGGAGGGAGCATTTGGCAAGGTCTTTGATCAGGCAACTGATAACAAACTTCATAGACGGGCTGTAGGTTTCCTAAAGAATTTGATTGAAGCTGCAGAACATCAGACAATACCAATGATGCTGGCTGTTTAGATACAGCATACAGGAAGAAATACTTAATGCATAGGTATATATAACATTTTACACCAGGTATAATGTTTGCAGTAGTCATCTAATTCTTTTTTAGCCCTAATGTATGAGCCTACAAATATCATAGCAGGGCGATGACTCATGTGGTTGAATAGCTGGCCGCAATCAGAAAGCGATGTCAGAAGGTGCAGGAATGCAGAAACAGAAAAGCAGCAGAGGAATGCCGGCCGTTGTGCCAGAAATATTGATCCTTTGATGGAAGAGTGACTAATTTTAAATACTGATTTATTTTTTTTTCCGCGCAGTCTGGGGAGCATGGCACCAGCGTGATGACTAATTAAAGCAATCTCGTGGGTTTACACTGAGAGGCAAGGGAGAGGTAAAAGCTGGAATGTTGTTTGTTTTACAGGATGGGCTGCTTTCCTACCAGAGCTACAGCTCTTCATATCACCCAGCTTTGCTCAATATATCACTGTCTTAGCTGCACCAAGTCCCTGCACTGCAAGGAGCAGGAAAATAGCATTTTAGGGAACAAGGAGATAGACGTGTGATTTTTTTTTTTTTTTTTTTTTTTTTTTTCCCCCTCCCTGAAGGTGTGGAGAGCCGGGCTTTCTGAGGTCTGGCGCATTTCTGTCGTGCCGCAACTTGCGGCGTAGTTGGTGTAAACATCTGTGCCAGCCAGCAGGACCGGGCGCTTTCATCTGCAGCCCCTCCTCCTCGGCGCCGCCGTCCTGCCGGCGCTCGTGCCAAGCGCGGTTGGGCGCGGAGAGGTTACCTCCAAAACCCAGCCCCGCGTTGGAGGAAGCGGTGCCAGCGGCTCAACGTACCACGCTGGCAGCATCGGCTTGGCAGGGTCCTCCTGGGAACGCCAACACCGAGGGCTGTCAGCCCTTCGCCACAAAGCTGTGCTGCTGGTTTGAGCTGAGGGCTGCGTAGCAATGGGACTCCAATACTTTCTTTTCCCTCTCTCTCTCCGATGGGGAATACAACCTTTGAACTTGGATAGGTTACTTTTTGATGTACTCCATTTAAAAAAATCAGTGCCCTTTAATTATCGCAAAGGACGTGTGCTTTGCATTGAGTTTTCCTTTCCCAGTTAATCTTTATTTCAGTTATCTCACGCTCCGGGTGAAAGTTTCTGATGCTTTGCTGTGTGGCACAGAAGGGAAGCAGGAACACGTTGTAAATCAAGCTGGCTTTGCAGTCTGGGTATTCTGTTCTGATTGGGTATTCTGTTTTGGTAATTCCAAACATCAGAAATATTTATGCTCTTCATTTCCAGTTACAAAGGTATGCCACCTCTGTAGTACTAAAACTCTGGGACACATGGGACTTAAGTGCTTTAAAAAAAAAAAAAATCTATCCAGTGGTCTCTACTAGTGCTTGTTTTCTACCCAAAAAAAAGAGCTAAAGGCACCAGAGACTCACACCCTCCTTGCCTGATTTATTCTACACCTTTGCAAGGCTGGTATAAACTAGAGTTTTCGGTTGTGCTTTTTTTTTTTTCCCCTATTTTTTTTTTTTTTCCACAAACTGATCTGTCTTCCTGGGCTTCAAAAACTTTAAATGGCTTGCTAAGAAGAAGTAGGGAAGCACAGTTTAAATTATTTTGGTCTAGGATTAAAATACATGCCGTGTGGACGTCATGGTGCCTGTCTGGCTGGCCTAGTTTTTAAATCCAAATAGAGGAAAAGAATGCTGCCACCTCCCCTCAAAAATAATAAATGAGCTGTGCTGTTGTGTGAAAGCTGTGCTTGCCAAGGGTTTGGCGTGGGGAGGAGGTAAGAGGCTCTCGACCTGTCATGATTTGGGTAGCGATTAGATTTCTAAGGAAACTGAACCTTTTAAGAAAGGTTAAGTAGTAAAACCACAGCACTGCTTTGCACCAGGTTTTAATTGCACATACTTAAGGTGTGAAGTGCTGTCTGGTGCCTTCCTGGGTGGAGATGACCTTGCAGCCTACAAGGGGTCCTACTGTGTAAAAACGTTAGAGGGTCAAATCTTAAGGAGTAGGTAAAGCTATAAAAATGCTCTGAATCTTTATTTCTTCCTCAGTCCCATCCCAGGTAAATCCACTACACCACTATTTATATATCCTCTGCCCCAGCCAGAGCTCCAAAGCAGTGTGCCGTGGCGGGTAGGCGTGTGGTATATTACTTTGGCAAGATGTGGATCGAGATGAAAACAGTTCAGTTGCACGTAAGGACGTCGTGTGGATGCACACGGGGGAGAGCTGGGTGGTCTCGCCCTACGAACACATCCCATGGCTCCAACTGCCCCCGTTCCCTCTGTGTGGTCAGTAAAGCGCCCTGGACTTGTTGCTAAAAGCCAAGGGCACGAGGGCTGCCGGCTTTTCAATGGGGGGGATCTGCATGACAAGCCCCAGGTCAGACAATGGGACCCTCGGCAAAGGCCACCGGGCGTCATCGCATCCCCTGCTGAGCCACGGCATTGTCTGCGGAGGCTTGAATGCGCCGGTTTATGGCCTTGTGCTTCATTCAGAGCAGCGAGATGAGTACCGCTGGCCTGTGTATGGGTGGGCTGTGTTAAAGAGCTTGTTTGCACTGGAACTCCAGCCCGCAAAATCGGGGCTGTGGGGATGGATCAGTGGAAACCAGGGATGTTCTTGTACTGGGCAAGAGCAAAGCTGGAACCAGGGTCTGCTTCTTGTAGGGATTTGCTCTGAAGCGTTTTTCACTCGCTGCCAAAAGTAGGTTATCAGCCTTTCACTCCGGACACCACCTTTTTCAGCTTTTTTTTCCATCTGGCATGCTAATCCTTCATCTTTTCGCTGGTTATTTACGACGGCGTGTGGTCCTCAGCCTGAAGATGCTCCGCGGAGGGGCTCCTGCATAAACATAAGTGCTTCTCACCTCCATCTCAGACCCCGGGCCAGATGCTGCCCTGCTCTGTGGGCTGCCCACCTGAACTTTGACTTTTCCTCTTGCTCTTCGTGTTGGGCAATATATCGCTTGTCATCGCAAGGGTGATGACTCCTGCTCCCTCAGAGCCCTGGCTGGTACCCTTCAGTGTTCCCAGAGCGTAAAACACTGCGGCTTTCTACTCTGCACTGGAACATATGTGCGTGGATATGATTTATTGCAGATTTTCCCCTTGCTAGACTTGATGATAAATGCTCAAGGAATTGCTGGGGAGGCCTTGCTCATGTTGAAAGGGTCGATGGTAGATTTTCATGGCTTTTTTTGAGGGCACCAGTGTATGAAGTTGGACTTTACGGATCGTTGCTTTGGTTCTGAGCAGGATTCAGGCAGCGAGTCCTCTTTGAGATAAGTGCTGGTGCTGCCCTGGCTGGTGCTAAGGGACTGCACACAGGATTTAGTGTTTTGGGACCGTCGGTGCTGCTGAATTCCTGGTGTCTGCAGACCATTAAATATCCCCTGGGAGTAACAAACAGAGCAACACACTGGTAAACAGATCAGGGCTTCAGAAACAAGCTTGCCCTTCCTGCCAGCCACACTGTACACTTTTTACCAGGCATCTGGGGGAAGAAAGGGAAGAATTTTACAGAAAACCCAAGTATTGAGAATTTTCCAGGCTGTGTCAGGTCAAGAGAGGATTGAATTTCAAACATGTTGCCGTTCTGCACAGATCAGTGGAGCAGACAGCACCCGGCCGATCGGAGGGTGTGGATGCAGAAGAACCTGCTGCCCAATTACCCCAACCAGCCCAGGAGCTGAAGTCGCCCTCACTCCTCGATCCTTGGCTTGCAAGCTTAGGATCAATCAAAGCTGCTGCCAAAGGTTGAGCTCGCTCTTCCAGCGTCACCGTCGGGCACTCCTCCCGCTTCCTGTGAGTTAGGCAAGGCATGGAAGGGATCTCAGGGACGTGGAAGGCGAGGGGGTCGTCACGCAAAGTCAGCGGGGCTCGTTGCATTTGAGGAGGGAAATGCAGAAATTAGGAGATCCGCTTTGTAATTGCAGGGGTTTAACTTTCTGAACACATTTGAACCTTGCTCATCCTCCAGGGTAGATAAGCTGAGCAAGTCCTCTCTGCTCTAGCTTATGTTTAATTTACTTCCTGTCAGAGGTGCCTAGGTACCAAGGGACACAAAGTGCCCAAGGCAGATGCTTGCGTTTTTTTCTTTGTTTGCTGCAGAGTTTGGTTTGGGGCCAACAGCTATTTCCCTGGGTATCTCTGAGGGCTTGTCAAATGTTGTTTTCCCTCCCCATTCCCCATCTCACTGCCTAATCCTTTCCCATAAGGAGCAAAGGGAACGCTCCCATAAGATGCGTGCATTTCAGTGGTGCTTTTCTGTGATGAGATAGGGTGAAATGCTGTCAGATTTGGAAAAATAGAATAAGAGACCAGGTCTCGGTATACAGGGCAGTTTCTTAGTCTAATTTGGCAACCCTGTAAACCATGCAAACTAGCTTAGAGAAGGTAAGTGTGCTGAGTGCGGTAATCATAGCTAATCTAATTAACTCCAGGCTTCTAAGGCAGCTTTCTCTGCACTTTCAGGAGCAGCTCTGCTTGAGGGGATAATAGGCTTGGAAGGTTTTTGCTAGAGGGTTACTCTGTTCAGGGATGCCCCTAAGCTGGCCCGTGGTTTAAGTGATGTCGTGGCAGCTTGTCTGCTTTCTCCCGTCTGAAACCCAGGGGGAAAAATAAAATGATCTTTTTTTCACCCAAAACCACAAAGATCAGAGAACTGGCTAATCTGTGTGTTTGCTTTTTTCCTAGGTGCGTGTTACTATGACGCTAACCAGTCGATGTACGTGTTTGGTGGCTGCACGCAGAGCAGTTGTAACGCCGCCTTCAACGACCTCTGGAGACTTGACCTGAACAGCAAGGAGTGGATCCGGCCCCTGGCATCAGGTGAGAGGTGGCAGATGTGCAACTCCCCCACCACTTTATTAAAACTTACCGTGTCCCCAGGACTGGCTGATCTGATTCTGTATTTCCCCACATGTTTTATCATTATCTGACCAGTTTTCAAGTGATACCTTTTTTTTTTTTTGCCACAGAACATGTGTGTTCTCTTGCTTGCAGCACTGCACTGAGTTGTTTCTCTTTGTCTGGAGCAGCTTCTTAGCACTGGTTCGTGCCACGCGGGATGAGTGACACTTATCTGCAGCCACGAGAGCCTGCGGTGATAAGAGTTGCTGTCCCAAAGCTGAGATTTTTTTTTTTTTTTTTTTTAATAACTTTGATAGCTGCCACTTCAGGTATTTTGAGGAGTGGAGGAGACATGCCCGTGCGGGCTACCCATAGCAACCAGGAGAGCGTGGGAAAACAGGTACATTCCTGCAGTCCACGCGCGCTGAGCAGGGCAGGAAAACACCACAAATTATTTCCCACAGTTTTTTGTATTCAGGATGTCACACACAGCACACTTGTTTTCCATATATTTCTGGATTTGACAAAAATAACTTTGATAAAAGCAGAATTGGGGGAAGCTCTTGAGGGGTTGGTATTAAGCTAGCCATTTCAGCAAAAGCTTTACATTTAGCTGAGAGTAGGAAGAAGAAAAGGAGCTCAGCATCCACCAAGCGCTCCTTGCTGAATTTTCTGCATGGGTGCAGACTCCCTCTGACCCTGCTTCATGTGTTCTAAGTATTGTGGATTACTCAGTTATTGTTTAAAGTCATATTTTCTTGTCTGCAACTTTTTTTCTTACATGAAGTCCTCCAAAATCCAGACGTTTCTGCGTAGTGGTGTTATCTGGGAATTGGTCAGATGTTGCTTTGAAATGTTAATGTGTAACTTGGTGCGTGATGACTGCTATCAAGCAGATACCAGTCTCCACAACTCTTAATATTTTGATTTGATTTTTGCATCTGCACATCCACTGTATGATGCCTACAGGTGAGAATTAAGTGGTCCTGGACTTAAAATGGAGGAAGAAAAAAAGCCATAGCCTATATATGTGTGTGGAAGCCAGCTCTCAGTCTTCCTCCTTCCCTGCCGTAGCACTTTTCCTCTGCTCAGGGGTGGAGAAGAGGCCATGGGTAGCATAAACAGGATACCGGGCGATGCAGACCTCTGTTCTGACCCAGGACATCCATTCTTGCAGCCCAGCGAGTTCTTCCGTCGGATTGAATGCAGGGCACGACTTGCAGCCGCGTTAACGAGTCCAGCCGCCGGCACCCAGCTCTGCTCAGTCACACTCTTGGTATTTTGCAAAGTCAAATTCCCACTGCCTTACTAACAAATAACACTTTTAAAAGAACGAGTCCTGTGGGAATATGTGTCAGAGTTAAGTCCCATGGGAAGATCCCCTGAGGAGATATTTCTGCATGCTGTCATGAGCGTATGTAGTGAGATGGGATCGCAACTGAAACTTCAGGCACTCTCACCGAACAGAGAGCGCTCTTGTTCCTCGGTCTTCAGAGGGGATGAGTCACCCCGCGCTTGTGCCGGTGGTAGTTTCTTACACATAGCTGCTTTTTTTTTTTTCTGGTGCCCTTAACCCGAGGGTTGGCACCCGCTGCCTGGGAAAGAATAGTGACTGGAGGGGGCAAAAGCAGAGAGCTTTGAAACTTGGAAGTCAGATGTAAATAAGGCAGGAGGTTTGGGTTCTTTTTTTTTTTTTTTTTTTTAAAGAAGAGCTGACATTGATTGATTAATGCTTACTGTGTGTGCGGCTGAGGAGGAGTTCCCACACCTGGCCCTACGGACTCTGTAGGGTAGGTCTTGCTCTAGAATAAGATGGTGGCTTTTCCACAAGGCCAGTTCTTGCTCAGAGAGGTTTGATCGCGCTCTGCTTGTGCCCTCGTTAAGCACGGGCATCTTATCTAATTTATCTAATGAAACCTGGGTAGAGCTATCTAAAGGGAACAGGAGTGTGGTGCCAGGGCCGTGCTAAATGCCTGGGACACGGCTCAGATGAGCTGAAACAACTTCATCCCCCTCCCCTCTCTGAAGGGCTTTTCCAGGAGAAAACACCCTTTTTTGTTGTTGTTTGTTCATACCTGTTTTCGTTTGGGTTTTCTTACTTGCAGGCATTAGATGACATCAGATCTGAATAATACATGTGCAGCCTGAGCTGCTGCACTTCATCTAGGAGTAAATATTTAGCCTTCAAAGAAATAATTGGCCCGTGTTTCTTTAGACTTGGAGACGGAGGAGGGAGATAATTGCTTCAAAAAAACCTAATTTTTGAGGTTTCAAAGTATTTTTTTTGCTTAGATCTAAAACAATGGCATTGACTTTCTACTTATTAGGCTGGAAGAGAACAAGAGAGTTAATGCCTTAGCTTTTATGTAGCACTTTTTACCAGTGGGGCTTAATGCTCTACAAAGGAGGGTCTAAGGCAGCAGGATCTCTATTTTAGGAACATGAACAGGAATGCATCTAAACTCTTCTCCCTCAAGCTCTTCTGGCCACTTTGGAGCTACTTTCCACCTCCTCCACTCCCACATACTTGGGAGTCGATGGAGCAGGAGGGGAGTGATAATTAACAGCCTGTATTATGTGGGAAACCTGCAATGTTATCCCAGGGTAGGTGGTCCCTGGGAGGCAGGTGCCTTTCTCCATGTGTTGGGGATGCTTTCTCTGCCTTGATTTGCATAATGAATCTAGGTGCTTCTTTGACTTTTAGCCTATCTGCACAGAGGGGAACCTGGTGGAGGGCTGGAGGTGGTTTACGCTGGAGTCTGTTTATCCAGCTGGAGGCAAGGGTTAGTCTTGACTCCTCTAACTCAAGCTGCAGCACGCTGCTCTAGCAGCGAGGGCACAGGCAGGATGACTTCGGCGGCGATAGTCTTCTGGTGCTCCCCGGGAATGGGCTCTTGTGCAGCTGAAACAGCCAGGAAAGAAACCCAAACCCCTTTGAAATGGAAACTCCCAGGATTTAATGCAATGGGTAAATGCAGGAGCTGCAGGGGTTCCCGTGGTGAGGGCTTCGGTGTGGGGTTGCTGACACCTGGAGTTGGCTAACCCAGGATTCAGCCCTGGATCTGCTGCGCTGGTGGCAGGGAAGGTTTTTTACCTATTTCCATGCAGCTCTGTGAAACACCCTCCCATCTGTGTGTGATGAAAACTGCTGGCAGGTCCTGGGAGAGGCTGCCTTGGCCATCAGCACTGACCCAGGCCCTTTACTGTCATCTGTGTCTCCTTTTTGTGTCATCCTCAAGCTTCAGGGGACAATTTATAGGCAGAATTGAGAGCATATCCCCAGGCAGTCATCCTTCTGGCCTGCCTGTACTATTGCAGACTATGTTTCTGCAGACTTTCTCCCATCCTGTATTTGTTAGTTTATATTCCTCAGGAGCCTTGCACTTGGCCTCTGTCTGGCAGAACCATACACTAAACTGGGAAATACCTTTTTTTAAATCTGAGAGAAGAATGCTAGTAGTTTTGCTCGTGTTCCCGGGGGCTTACAGGACAGAGGTGGAAAGCTTTTCTCTTTAAAATCGAGCCTTTTTCTGTGCTTATGAAGTAAAGAATTATGATATAAAGACCAGGTCTTTGCAGGGAGAGGAATGTTAGCTGAAGTCCTACGGGATCTGTGCATCCTGCCTGTTGTTTCTGCTTTATCATCCTCAGCCAAGTGTGATCCCCCCCCAGCTTTGCTACCATCTTCCTTACAACTACCTGGGAAGGCAAGAGAGCTGGAAAGACCCCAGTCTGCCCCTTGACGCAGTGTGTTTTCCCACTGCCAGGCTGTGATATCCCGCTCTGATATCAGGGGAGTTCAGGAGACTTGTGGCTCCACTTTTCCTGTTTGCTGTGAAAAGGCTCGCTGTGAGGCTGGCCCCACATCCACCCTTCCGCTGAGGGGAGGGGGGGGTAAAACTCCCCAGGACTTGTTTCCTGGTGTTTTTCTCTCCCTGCAGTTATTTGCTGGAAAGATGGGAAGGCTTCTCACCTCTTTCTCAGGATTTCAGGATGAAAAGAGACGTGGAGGCAAAACTCATGTATTAGATGCTCTGATCCTCTCTGTCCATGTTCACAGTGTCAAGACGTAGCCACATCAGAGCAGCTGGTCCTCCCTGCTTTAGCCTGAAAATGAGTAAAGACCTTCAGCCTGAAGTTTGCACTTAAAACCTCTTGGGTAGCCTTAACGTGACACAGTAAGTGCAAAAAAACCCCTCCTGTGTTGGTGGTTCTTGGCTCTGTTCTTCCCCCAGGTCCCCTCCATGCTTTGAGTGGGAGCCACTGGAGTTTGACGATCGGGTTTCCCCTTTTGAGCTGAGGGGAAGGTGCCTTTGATGGTGTTGTGTCAACAAAACTAACAACCCAAAGGAGGGAGGAGAGACTCTGCTGTCACCTGCCCGAGGTGCTTGTATCAGATGTGGTCCCTGTGCGGTGGGAGGCTCTCTTGGCTGAAAGAGAAACCTGCCCGTTAGTTGTCAAGCGCAAGCAGAGTGGTTTGCCCTTGACAAAGCTGTGCAAAAGCCTTGCCCCGAGCCAAAAAAAAAAAAAAAAAAAAAGCCCTGTTCTCATCATCTCCTTCTAGAAAACAGTGGCGAGTTTTCAAAATAGTTGATGAAGTTTCATAACGCTGGTCCTGATCCAGAGTGAGCTTCCTTGTTTGGGGCCTCCTCAGCGATGAGAGCTTTTTGGAGCTCAAAGGAGACGTGAGCCACAGCGAAGGACTGGACTTTCCAAGGAAGGGGCACGGTCATGCAGCTGAGAGCCAGCAGCCATTCAGCCCTCTGCATCCACAAACCGGTGCGACACCTTCACGCGTGGTGTAGATAACTCGCAGGACTTGTGTGTCTGCAGGACAGTCCAAAGGATTGATGGGGTTTCTAAAGAGTAAACAGTTGTTAGAATAGTGGAAACCATCTTGCATTTGGATTTAAAACCTACTCTGTCCAAAGATCTCCTGAGATTGTGCCGATTGTTCGCTCCTTGGTTGTCTTTTGCAT